GTTCCACGCTAACCGAAAATTACGTTGTAGGAACGATTAAATACATGAGCCAATCGCAGCCCAATAGGTGGGAACTTTACAGACTAAGGCTGTTTGAAAGGTTTTCTTCTATAAAATTAACCGATTCTAGACTAATTCCACTCAACATTTCCAAAATACGTATAATTCTTTGGGAATAATCTGTATAAACTATGCTATAAACAAAAAATTATAGGATTACTTACCGAGTGTGTACCGTTCGACTACGCCGTTGCTTAAAGGTGGTTTTCATCGCGGAACAGCACATTAAACGACGGCCGCGATTTCTAATAACGAATTTTTCGCATAAAAATAACTTGACCTTTGGAGACATCATTAACATAAATAATTTTTATGGACGTTGAATAAGAAGTGTTTCTTTCACAAGAAATGTATAAAATTAGTGCTGTATTAGACTTACGGTACCTAATTTACATACTGTACAGACGATAATAAACTCAACTTACTAGCCTAAAATCTCCGTAGCGTGTTGCCAGGCGGCAGAAAGCATATATATAATTATAATAAAGTTACAATAAATTAAGTTAATATATAATTATATATACAGTACCTAATTTATATATAATTAATATATAATTATATGTACAGTACCTAATTTATATATAATTTATATATAATACTAAACAGACGATAGCAAACTCAATTTAGCCGCTCCGTAGCGTGGCGCAGGGTCGGAGGAAAGTAGTTCGGCTGCTCATCCACTATTGGTCCAGACTCTATCAATCTTGTCGCGAAACGACGTTATAGGAGGTACGTTATACGAAAGTTGCTACAATTTTTTCGCTACGTTATAGGAATTGTCGTTATAGGAACGTACGTTATAGGGGGGTCAACTGTATATCAACATCCTATTTGCCTACACATCTCCATATCTCACAGCTGGGATCTGATCATATCCTGTTGCTTTTCCATTCTTCATTCTCCTTCTTGCTTATATCTGCTGTCTCACCTTCATTTGCCTCCCCATCTTTGCATAGCACTCTTGGATTTTCCTCATTCAGTACCTCCCTAAAATAACTCTTCCATCTTTCCTTTATTGTTTCTTGGTCTTGTAACACTTTACGTTTCTCATCTTTTATTGGTTTAATTGATGTGAAATCCTATAATGTGTTATCCTTCACTTTCACAATTCTTATCAGCTATCTGTCTCTGTCTTTTTTTTCTGGTTCTTCATTAATCATATCTCACCTTTGCCTTTGCCAGTGCCACAGTCCTTTTTGCTTCTCACCTTATATATTTCTTTATCTTTCCTATTACTTAACATTTCCCACTTCCTTGTTCCATCATCAAGCCTCTTTTCTGTAGGGTGGTCCTTTTCCTGATGTTTTTCCTAATACCATCTATCCAACTTTCCTTCTAATACAACTATTAAACTCCCACCATTCCTGCAAATCTTCCAGTAACTTTATTCTTCCAAGCACTCTTTTCAGGTCACCATCTTTCAATTTCCACCACTTTATCCTTTGTTCTTCCTTTCCCGGGTGTGTCTGGATCTTTTTGTCAACTATTATCACCCAATCAACTACTACCAATCTGTGTTAAGTAGCTTTATAATCTTGCAATTCCCCATCTCTTTAAAATGTTTCATGTAATACTTAAAGTAGTCATTCTGGCTTATTCTATCTCCACTGTTGTATGTTATAAGCCATTTCTCTTTTTCTTTCAAGTATATATTGACTATTACAATGTCAAGCACTATTGCATATTCCACTATTCTATCTCCCTCTCTATTTGTCTCACCTATATTCCCACCCACCATGCACTCTTCTTTCTGTCTTCCTACATGCCAATTTAAATCACTTCCACAATCAACCTTTCACTAGTATTTCCATTACCATTTTATCTAATTCTGTCCAAAGTTATTCTTTTCTTCCCTGTATCCTGGTTGGGAGAGCATATACATATACTATGGAGACAAAACTTCCTCCTAATACTTTTTCATCTGCTCCTCCAGAGAACAGTTTATATCCATCCCCAGCTCCCTTGCTTTACCTCCTTTCCACCTAGTTTCCTGCAGGCATAAGATCCTCTGCCTTCTTTGTTTCATTAAGTCTGTCAACTCTGATCTTCCCAATCATTGTCCCAAAGCTTTACATTGCCCAAAATAATAGATAGGAATAATGAAGGTAAAATACTAATAACAAAAAAGCAAAAAACTTTCTTAAAAAACATTTGCATTGAAGGTAAGATTAAAAGAACACAAATGTGAGATAGCCGGGGCACCTGCTAAAGGGTGCCACTTACTCGGCCTATTCCGTGAGAATAATTCTCGGAGTCTACAAGAATGGTTTTCCTATTTAATAGGAATCCGAGTGGTGGAGGGTCTTATCGTTGAGTGAAATTTGGGGTGGAAGTTAGTGATGGCAAATTCACCTTCTTCCTTACGCCAGGGGTCCCGACACCAGTTTATCAGTTGTTTTACACGTGGATAAACACGCATAGGGAAATCCTATTCCGATAATAATTGAGAGACATTTCTTTATAAAATAAACAAGAATAAATTTAATAAACCATAAACAATTAAAACTAATACAAAATATTATATAAATGAGAGATAATAAATGCGAATTTCAATCTATAAGTCAAGAGAGATACAGACTTATACTATAACCGATATGAGGTCGAAAGAGAGAGCTCACAAAATCATTTAAGAACATAAAACCTGATCATTGTCTTTAAACTTCGGTTCTGTATATGAAGTATTTGTTTCACTTCTAGAATTCTCTGTCTTCTTTCCTCTGGAGAGATCAACTTAACTTGATACATTTATATCTTTAGACTTAATCCTTCGTATATTGTATGGCTCCTAAATCCTTCATATATTGTATGGCTGCTGACATATTGCTCCTAAAGGCCAACACCTATGCGTTGGCCTTTAGCAGCAATATGTGTGGAGTCCTGACTCTTCCAGGTCTGTCGATAAACTCCTTGAATTCGGTTGAACATCCTTTATATCTTCTCATCTACGACCAATTATCAGTCGAGGCTTCATCCACGTGAACAGATGGGAAGGGAATGAAATGAGGGGTAAACAGTTCCCACCAAAGCGAGATTTTTAGCAGATAATGGAAAAACAGAGGATATTCTAACTTCCGTAAAAGGAAGTAGCATCTGTTATCTATCTTTTCCCACGCTAAAACGTTATTTTTCTCACCCAAACGAAAGAATATTTTATAACAAAAATTTAATATTATTTTGAAATTATTAATTTAGACCCAGGGCCTATTCAGATCTCACACAAAGCATTTATTTGTTTAAAACATACATAACTTGGTTCCTCCACTGCAGTAGAAAACTTGTACAATTAACAAAAATAATTTTAAAATTTTATTCTTGGAACAAGACTTATATTTACAAAAATTCAAAAAACTTATTGAAATTAAGAATAGCATTAATCTGATCAATTTAATATAAATATCTTCATATAAATAAAGAATTTGTTAATAAGCATCTTATGAGTAATTCTTGGCCTTGGGTGGTTGTTGTAATTGGAAAAACATTGCAGGTTTGCTTAATCATCTAAACACCCCTTTTAAGTGGTTGTCAGAATAATCATTATATATAAACAAAAAATTTAAGATAAAAACAACACATGTATAATAATAAAAGAATTACAAAGGTAAATTGCAAAATACTTTTTTACACTTACTCATTAGATATAAAAAAGTAAAATAAAACAAATAAAAAAGACATCACTTCTAAATTTGCTTTAACAGAATGATAAAAGAATAACCATTCAGATGAAGAAAGATAAAAATTAGAAAATGACAGCAAGATAAATTTTAAGATTATAAATTGGTCTAGGGATGGCAAACCTTTTTGTGTTCACATGCCATATTGTAAGAATACTTAGCTTTAAAGATATTTATGTGTGCCAAAGTTTCAGACTTCGAATAATGATATTTAAAGAAATTAAACGAATACGCTTTAATTAGAATAAATGTAAAAAAGCTGATTGAAAAAAGGATGATCAAATGATAAACCGAAAACACGATTGAAAAAGACAGAAATCGTATGATACATTATGTGCCAGATGATTTCTTACGTGTCACTTTGGGCACGCATGCCATAGGTTCGCCACCCCTGGTCTAGGACAAACATAGATATAAAGCAGATGACTGAAAAGATAAACATTTTATTTATTGTAAACACTTCTTTTTGAATGTTTGTAACTTGTTTTCTTATGATATTCTGTAATGTAATCTGGGGAAGACTTACTAATTGAGTTGAAAATAATTTTGAGTACAAATTTTCCATTGTTAAAGTGTTGTTATTGCTAAATTTATAAATGAATGTTTTACATTTTCTGACCATTAGAAGTTATACTTTCTTTAATAAGTAATGTTTTCAGATTGATTAAAAACTAATAAAAAAGACCTTTAATCTCTTTAACACAAGCGTGTTAAAATATGTTTTTAAAAAAGTTTTTAAGTAAGTTTTTAGTAAAAATGTTTTTAGTAATTTTTCATGTAATGCTATTTTGTTCAATGCTGTTTTTATTAATGTAAGTAAAACAGTAATTTGCTAAAATGAACAACTGTAGTAATTCTAGAAAATTTCCTAACTCATTGAATTCAAGTGATAATACAGAAAGTCCTTGCTAGTTCAAAATTCAATGGACAAAATAATTTAGTTTTATAGATATATTTATAAAACTGTAAAAACAATGTTAAAAAGTTTTATAATTTAAAATAATAATTAAAAGTTATATAATTATAAATATAGCTAATATTGCTTATTAAGAATTATTGCAAGTTTCAACAAAAATAAGTAGAGCATGGTGGCAAACTGATGCAAAACAGAGGGGTGAAATCAAATAAAGCAATCATGATTGAAGTTCCTAGTATATTATTATAAAATTGCTCTAAAATAATTGTGATTACTTTATAAATTTGTACTTTCAATTTTTTAATTTAATGTATAAAAATATTACTATATATTAGAACAGAACAAATTATTACTTCAACAACATTTCCCATTCCAATTCCAATTAAATTTCTTTGGCTAAAATCTATACAGTTTGCTGATGAATGTAAACGATAAGACTGCAGATTTTTTAAGTTCCTAATATCCCAAATCTTCATTGATCTATCTGAAGCACAGGTAGCCATATATCTAAAAAGAGAGAAAAAAAAAAAATCTGTTTTATCAACATAAATAGTACTTGAACTTGGCACTATATTTAAATAGATGAGGAGAAAAAATGCTTAATTCTGAATACCAAAATAGATTTTTATTCAGTAACTTTCTTTCAAATGTATTCTAATGCACTTGCTAATGGTAAAATACAGCTGATATTGTTCTTATAAGAGGAAATACAGTATTACTGAAAAATATGCATTTTGGTTTCCAAATTGAGCAAATTATGCATTTTTAAAACATTATAGATGAGAGAGAAATCTCATTTATAACGTTTATATATAAACTTTGTAGAATATTAAAATATCAAGATGTGAGAATTGAACATAAAGTAAAATGACCTGATGATAATCTCATCAGCATCCATGACATCTCAACTTTCTGAATCAAGAGAAGGTCAATTTATGCTTTTTCAGTCTATTGTGACATCTTTTCTTCAACTCTTAGTCACCTTGGAAGAATTTGCACTTTTGAATATGATAGATAATGACCAATTTTAGTCAGTTACAGTGTTAAGGTTATTACTTTGTAATAACCTTAACACTGTAAAACTTGCTCATATAGCTCATGAGAGTTCTCATAGAACATGTGCTCAAGGTTGCTCCCCTCACCTGTACAGTTTCAGTCACAGCTATATTTAAAAACTATGGGTTAATCTGCTAAACCCTATATATAGCTCACACTATAACTAAACAATAAAATGTACTGTACTTATTGCATTCATAAATTTAAAAAATATAATAATAGTAAATTTGAAAATTGTTTTATTATTTTGTAAAATCCAAAAAATACTTTTTAATACTGTAATAATGTATTTGAATAATAATCTTTTATATTTAAAAAAGTTTAAAATTATTTATTAACAAATTTATTATTTTGTAATTTTGTATTTACCTTCCATCATTATTTACAGCTATTGCACGCACAGAATGTGGATGACATAACATAGTAGCAAGAGGTTCATTTGTATTCGGTGACCACATTGCAACAGTGCCTAAAAGAAAAGAAATCTTTCGTTATTATATATATACTTGTTAAATTACTAGAAAATGTGTCTAATAAATTACAAATGTATATTTTAAATATTTCCCTAATTGTTTGTTTGTGCCGTGTGTGCGTGTTGCTCTTGCATGTACAGTATAACCTCTGAATTGTGGACACTAAACGCTAAAACTGAGAAGTTTGTCTATCTGGTATTAGGAAGTATATGATGGTGGTTATACTGTACAGTACTTTGTCATCATATAGGTAAGAATACAATGGATTATGAAAACATCAAAACTTTAATTCATTTAAATTAATGTTTTTGATCTCTTTACATAGGTCTATGTCAGGTTTAACAAGAGAATTTAAACTTTATATTGTAATTGAAATTCTAACATTTTATTTTAAAAACAAATTGAAATAAGATTTGGAATGCATATGACTGCATATCTTAACTTGATATTAAACATAACATATATGTATAAAATATTACATAATATAATTTAGTGATAAATATATTGTCAAAGAATTCAATAAATCTAAATAATTTACAGTAAAATTATGACAATAAAAGAAAATTGCAACAGAAAAGGTTATAAAGGTCCATAAGTCAAAGGAGAAAAAAAATATATATATTTTTGTGTATTTTACAATTACATAAGAAGAAAAGAAAAGGTTAAAACTATAAAATAAAGTGCCAAGAAGAAATAAGGTTAAGATAACTTGTAAGACTGATTTACTCGATGTTTGCTGTTTATAGTATATGTCGCCCAATCACCATATTGAATTGTCTACCAGTGATTGACATGCTTTCGATAACATTTCTTTTCCTTTATTATTATTAATACATTAACCTGCCCACAAAGCAAGGAATATTTCATATACCTCTAGTGTTTTTAGTTTATGAATGAAAAATTATTTTTAATAGTTCTGCTTAGTCTCAGCACACAGACACTCCAGGCTTGCTTGCTATTTGAGCCAGTGCTGTAGTGTGTTCATTTTTACTAATGTCATACAGTAGAGCATAGTTTATCCAAATCAATTGGGGACTGGGGTTGTTTGGATAACTTATTTTTCAGATAACCGATTATGTACGAAAAAAAATATTAACCTATCCTACATTGAAATTTTTCTCCGTTGCGTGTCGCTTCGAGTTGAATTTTCGTCGATGTTAAGCCAACGTAATTTTTTTAAAATAATAATCGTGGCTATTGTATCGTTAAAAATTATTTCTTTATTTTGTACAAACAAAATAAATATATTTTTCAATAAGTTAATCTGGTATCAAAAATGTTCAATTCAGCACGACACAGTCCGACTGAAATGCTTTCGGTTAACCGATGTCTCAGTTGATCAGCTTTCGGATAAACGATGCTCTACTGTATTTACATTCTTTTATTGTTTGCATTAATGATCTATTTGTCACACCTATGTATATCAGTTTTTGATTAAATCTATCATTCTTTACCAGGATTACATATACTCTTGGAGCTAAGCTTATATTGATATTTTCTTTGTCATTTGTTAGAAGTCTGAAAAAGCTAGAAGTGCATTTATAAGTTATTTTTGCTTTCATGTGGATGACTAATGTTTTATAAGTGAGAGTGAGCCTAGGGTCATAATCTAACATTAAATATTTTTGAGATATTCCTTCTGTAGTCCTTTCTCTTTTTATGTTTGGCTGTATTAAGGTCATCTTCTATTTTCTTAGATATCTCTAAAATCAAATCTGAGCTGTATCCATGTGCTGTGCAATTTTTTAAAACATGTTCTATTTCTTTAAGTATGTCATCAATTTTAAAGCAATGAGTATAAACCCTGTGTACCGGCATTTTAAATACAGTAAAGCATCAATTATCCGACCTCCGATCAATCGTCACATCGGTTAACAGACCGCGTTCCAGTTGGCAAATTCAAATGTCCGCTAGTGATGTAACACTACAATATTTGGCTATGTCTTGGCTACTTTAATATTATTTTTGTTAAATTGTTGCGTGTTTTAGCTAGCAACACTGGCTCAACCATGAACAGGAGGCCAGTATTTAAACAAGGCTTAATTTTCTAGTTATGAGTGGTCGTTTGTTTTGTGAGCAATAAAATAATTTTAAAATAATTTTTAACGATACAATAGCGACGATTATTATTTTAAAAAAAATTTTGTTAGGCTTAACATCGATGAAAATTCAACACAGAAGTAGGTTAATAGTGATATACTAATATACTAATTACATGGGATATACTAATAATGTATTTTTTCATACTTTTCGGTTATCCGACCACAACCCCAGTCCCCAATTGAGTCGGATAATCGATGCTCTACTGTGCTGCTGTTTTATAGAATGGGGGATTGCTAGACTATGAAGGGATGAAGGACTTGCAATTTGGTTTTCGATATATCTGTATAAATATTTGTCCACCTGCTAACATGATATTGAAGTCTAGGAAGTGAACTTGCTTGTTGCTTTCTTAATCTAATTTACACTCATGTCCATAATTTAAGAAATTCACAAGTGCACATATTAGCTGCTGCTGTAAAGGAACAAAACACAAGTAGAAATGCTTTGTGACAACCTCTGACATAGGTGTGTGTAAATTTACTGACAAGGGAATTGTGTAAAAGCATTTTCCGTCAGTATGGGTAATTGGCATTGTAAGAGCTTGTTATTGCGTCATGTGTGCATATGTTATTATTTAAACCTATGAAAAGACATAGAAAACATTCATTTAAATGAATTATAAAGTGTTGCTGAAAAGAGTATTTAAGGCAGGGGTGGCAAAAACGTGGCGCATGCGCCAAACTTGGTGCATTGGATGATTACAAGTGGCGCTTCAGTTGGTTCCGAGCAACATTGCCAGATTTGGCTTCATTGCATACGCAATTCGGTGCAATCGACCTGTTCACATTTTTTTTTTTTTCTTTGCTTGTACGTTACACGATGCATTAGTGTCCATGTACACCACTGATGTCATATAGTCATATAGAACTATTTTATACGGGTAGCTACACTACAACCGCATTTTTCATTGCTTGTTCTGTGGCAAATCTGAATTTTTGTCTTATAAATTGAAATACCTAATTAAGGGGTGGCCGAAATTTTTTTCCGCCCCGGGCTGCTAACACTCACGGTACGCCACTGCGCATCTGAACTCGTCTATCAAAAAATTGGCGCATGGTATGCAAAAGGTTGGCCACCCCTGATTTAAGGTGTTGTTCAAGCTATATTAGTTTCAGCTTACAGAGATGTTCCAAAAAAATTGTAAAAATGATGGAGCCAGACTGTTTCTATTCTTCTTATGTAATTGTAAAATACACAAAAAAATAGATTTTTCCTTCTCCTCTGACTTATGGATATTTTATAACTTTAAAGAAATTTTTAAAACATTGTATCAACAATGTATAAAAAAGATTAAAGTTAAAAAAGGTAAAAAGGAGATCAACTTGCAAAGAAAACTTTTATTTACATTAATAAACCTCCTAAATGCATTTCGCCTATGGAAAGCCTCTTCAGCAGGTCTAATCACACACAGTTCACGTTACAGAGATGTATTTCTTATATTATTTATCTTTTCAGCTATAAAAATCTCATTTTAATTGAATTCTAAATAGCAAACAAAATGAACAGGACACTTTAAATAGTATATAAAAATTGCAACAAAACATAAATGTTGAGTAATTGTTAATTCATGGAAAATGACATGGGTGGAAATGACAAAAAAAAAAAAATGAAACTGTTGTATTGAAGAGAAGGATGGATGAAAGTTGGTTTAGGCAGTGAGAGTTCGAATGTTGAATTACAAAGACAATTTGCTAGCCACTTTGAGGTGTGGATATGTATTCATTATTATTGCATTTATAATATTTATGATCTAAGTAACTAATAAAAATCAATATAGGGATTTCTCTGCTTTAAAGTTATCAAGTAGGTGTAATTTTTCAAGCATTTTTGCCTTTTTTCAATAAATGACTAATTAATACACTCCACCATACCTTTAAAATGCAGTCTACTTTGGATAGTTATCTAACGTTTTCGGTCTAATTCATAGACCTTCTTCAGGATTGATGTAAAAATTTTTTTAAAATTTGAACTTTCCCAACGGTAATTCCAACAACGCACATTCCACAATCTTCCAAAATTCGATTGCGCATGTCCATTTGCTCTTTATAATGCCGCCGCTTTCCATGCCGATAAAATTTACAAAAAAGCAGAAAATTTTATTGCATATCACATTGTGCAATTAGACGATACAATATAATCTTAAAATGGTCGATAAATATTTTAAATAAATATCACAGTTCAGAGTGCAATAATTTATATCACAGATTAGTATTTTGATGAAAAATAAATTAAATTGTCTGAATCAGACAATGTAACTACAGAAATATATGATAAATATTACATTGAATTATTTTAATTGTGTAATCTAGCTTTAAAATCAAACAACTAAATCACATTACAGAAAATGACAATTGTTCCCGTAAAAATATAAATCTGGTTCAGATTTTAACTAAAATAAATATAAAATTTTTGATTAAATTTTTAAAACAACTTCACTTTTGATTATAAATACAGATGATTTTAAAGAAAATAATTGCACAATTTGTAATAATGAATATTACTACACTACAAATAAGCCACCCTTAATTGTTTAGAGTGCTCATCTTCTAGAGGCAAAAATTGAAAACTTCATATGAAACTAAAATTTCATTGCATATAAATATGTACTATTGTTTAAATAGTACATATTTATATAAAAAATTTATTTTATTATATATTTTATTTGACTCGAAAATTTATATTTAGCCACTTTTCTCTGTATTTATAAATGTGCCAGGCCTCTGCATACTTTAGATGTCGTTTATTATCAATCTTTTGTATAATATCCGCCTTGCTCCATTCGATTGCAATCTCTATCGTGGGTCTTGCAGAGATTGCAATCGAATGGAGCAAGGCGGATATTATACAAAAGATTGATAATAAACGACATCTAAAGTATGCAGAGGCCTGGCAC